TACCTTGACACCTCAGATATTTTACTTTTCTTTATCTCTAAAACTGTCTGAAAATATTTTGGTAAAATGAAAATCTTCAGAGGCATGCTTTATTTCCATCGCGTTATGTTAAAAAAAAATAATGTGTTTAGGCAGTTTATTTTTTCCCATATTCTTTCAATTCTGTCCATCTCCCTTAGGTGGCAGCCATCAGCCAAAGACTAAAGTCCAAATGATTGGCATAGCATCAATAATCTAGCCCTCACCTATCTCTTTAGTCTCCATGCCAATTGCTGTTCAGGGGCATTAACATCTGTATTCATGATACAGACACAGCATTGGCCAATTAGAAGGACAAGGTCCCTCAAAGTAGAAGCCAGCCGGTTTCCACAGTGATATGTACCACCAGGCTCAATGCCTGTCCTTCTTCAAAACTACTGATAATTATTTGCACTTTTCTGTTCTGCTCATGTGTTCCATGACTTCATAATTTTGCACAAGATATTCCACCCTCCTTCCTTTCATCATCTCTTATAAAAAACTACTCTGATTTAGACTTTCTTCTTCTAAATATCTAAACAGAGTTAATCATTTCCTCTTCTGTGCTCTTACATAAACATCACTCTTATCACAGTAAATAGTAATCATTTGCTTATATATCTTCTGGCCCTATAGTCTTTCTCAACTTTGAAGAATAGGTTCCCTGACTTATTCAAAGCCTTAGCATAGAGTGCATTAAACTTTTTTAGAGTGAATTCACTTTTTGTATCCTAACTACATCTTTGTGGTATAACACAATGGAAAGCGCTTTGGAGACAGGGGTGCCTACATTTGTATTTCAACTTTCCAGCTTATTATTCATGTAACTGAGCGCATTGGAGACTCCATTTACTATGTCTCCTCTGAGGTTTGTAAAATGTATCTATATGGTAAAAATGTTTTTAAATCATTTTCTTAATTCAAATGAACCCACACAAGCCTAAGATAATTAGCAGAAGCTAGAGCATTCAGGAAGGGTCTTGCTTCATCATGATCAGTGTGTCCTAGGTGTTCTACTTCCTGAAGACTTTCCCCTCATTCCCTGTACTCCAGCCACTCCGGTTCTTTTGCTCTTCCTCAATGACATCAGGTACAAGCCTGTCCCAGGGTCTTTGTATTTGCTTTTCTTTTTGTCTGGAATAGTCTTTCCACAGAGATCCACATGCTTATTCATCACCTTCTCAGAGGAGTCTTACCTGACTCCTATCTCAATGGGACTCCTTGTTATTCTCAATAATCTCACCTAACTTCGTGGTGCTCAAGCTTCCTGCCATTGTGCCATTTATCTCTTGGCTCATTCATTTTTCTGCCTTGGCTATTAGAATATAACCCTCATGAAGGAGAGAATTTTTGTCATTTTGTTTATTATTATATTCCCAGCATCTATATCTTATTCAATATATCGAATGAATTAATTAACGAGTCAACTTCCTTCTCTTCTTACCCTGTTAGATCATAGGATTAAGTTAGGTGCATTGGGAAAATACGTTAACTCACTCATGAATAGTCCATAGCAAACAGTGGTATCAAATATCATGAGATAAATAAACTACCTGACTTAAAGAGACAGTGTAGTTTCTGGGCTGTAAAAGTGTCTGGTTCAGTAAGTAAAATGTGAGGAAAGTTTTGTAGAGAAATAAAGTTAACCTTAAAAACGTCATAAAATTTAGTCCTCAATTTCGTGCAAATAATGCCAATCACAGCTGCGATACTAAAAGCTGCAGAAGATTAAATTGTTCTCCATTAGGAATAGAATGCAGCAATGGTTGCCAAGGTAAATAATGTCTGAGTGCCTCAAATCAGACTATTATCTATGATTTTGGCAACCCATACCTATGCCTGTGAGGGATTTAACTTGTGTAGATCTAACGTATGCTTCCCCTCAAACAAAAATATCACAACATTGACTTGCATCTTGAGAAATAAAACATTTAGACATGTCTTCTGTTTGCAACAAAAATAGTTTCAGAAGGCACTGAATAGTTCAACGAATAGGAAAGCCAATCTGTCACGTCTGGGTCAGCATCAAATTCGGCCCGAGTCCGTAGTAAATTAACGTCATTGCCATCTGACAGCTGCTTAGCAGGCTTATGTGGAATGAGTTGTTCTCAGTCCAGCTCTTAGCAAACAGGTGCCCAGATCACAACACCATTCTCACAGTTGGCACTGATTAGCATCCTTCCTGGCATTGTCAGTGAAAAGCATTCAGGACAAATACCTGGTAATATTTTTACACACTGGCATAAACTATTCATAGCATTTATACATGGTATAAAGGGTGTTTGGATAAGACACATTTCTGTCTGGAACATACTTAGTTGAAAGACAATTTCCAGTTTCTTGATCTTACTTTGACAATGCAAGTATATTGTGAAAGGTTCTTTATTTATACCTGTGCTTCATCCCTTTTTCTAGAATGACAAATACAAGTTTACCTGCTAGATTTTTTTATCTTTTCTTTTCTGGATTGTGAAGAAGTTGCGACCAATGGGTTTGCTAACCTTACCTTTTCTCTGTTTCAAACTTTCCTTTATTTGCATTCTATCTCTCCTCTATGGTTTAATTCTATGGTTATCTATAAGATTTTGAATCCCATCCAATCCCTTCTTCAATATTTCTCTCTCTCAAAAAAAAACATGGCCTGATAATCATATATCTTATTTAAATACCAATTTCTCATATTGCTCCCTCCTTTCAACTACTATCTTCTTCTTGGTTTTCTTCAAAATGAAAAGCCTAAATATAAAATCTGGTTGGAGCTCAAAAACTTTTTAAACTGCAAATTAAACTTTCTAATTATCTACAAAGCATACTTTCTGGAAATCTTGCTAGTATATTATGTTTAAAGAGCAACTGGACTCCTAACACCTGGATTTAAAATGTGGTTCTACCACTCAGTACACAGGACCACTGGAAAAATTATTTACCTCTCTTCTAAGATCATTTGATTTGTCTGTAAAAAGGAGAAAATATCATATAGTTGTGATGATGGGTTAATATGAAGACAGAGGTTAAAAGCAGTAACTATTTCCTCTTCTTTTCCCATCTTCAATTTCCAATTCCTCTAAATACTAGCTATGTGGTATTTCCATCTCCATCCTTTTCCCTATGGACATGAGATGGATCCTTGTCCAGGTCTTCAATACTTAACTTCCAGAACACTAATTCTTTCTTCAACTGGATCTAATTGGCTATTTACTCTACTCATTAATTTCAATGACAGTATTTTTCGCTTACGGAAGTTTTGTTTAATCTTTTTCATATTCTTCCATTATTTATTTGTGCTTTTTTTCTTTCATCTCTTAATTATTTTAAACAAGTATAGTTTTGAAATATATTTTTGACTTCTTGCTTTGCTAAATCTCCTGATTTCTGAATTTTCTGATTCTCCCTCATGGTGTTTTGCTTGATGATATTTGTGATTATTAGAAAATTATATTCAGGGGGATATATTTATCCTTAGGGAGCCCCAAGTCTTTAATTTGTAAAACAGTTATTAGAGATACTTTTGAGTGTATTTCTCTGGGGCTGGAGCCCTCAGACAGTTCAATGGTTCAGCATTAATTTATGCTAATTTTCATGTTAATTCTATCTGCTCATGCTTTAGACTAAGAGTTTCAGTTTTTAAAAGGTGATTTCTTTCCTCTTCCTCTCTCAAACCTTTTATGAATTACAACTTTCTTTTTTTTTTTTGT